CACACACACACACACACACACACACACACACACACACACACAAACACACAGACATGTTGGACCATCAGACAACCTTTCATTCTGGTTCATCCACTTACAGACCAGACAGACAGACAGACAGACAGATAGACAAAGAGACAGACAGACAGACAAACAGACAGACAGACAAACAGACGGAGAAACATACAGACAAACAGACTGAATGACTGATTGACTGACCGACTGAATGACCGGACAAGGCGACAGACAGACAAACTGACAAACAGACAGACATACAAACCAGAGCAGACTGATAGACAGATGGACAGACAAACAGACAAACACAACAGACGGAGCAGACATACCACAGAACTGCTTTGTGTTGTCCATGCATATCTTTGACCTATGCAGGATTTCTTCCTGCGGTAGAGATTCGTCAATGCAACATATATGATGTTCATCCATTCAAAATTATTATTGTTCTTTCTTGTTTGAATAAGAGGGGAGGAAGCAGGATTCGGAATGACCTTTCTCTCTCTCTCTTCCCTTATGTTTAAACATTTCTTTTTGCAATTGGACGCCATTGAACTTTCTATCGAGTGAACACTCCGAAATTGATCAGGACCGCCACACAGAACAGACAGACAGACAGAGGGTGGGAAAGAGAGAAGCGCATGCACACGTGGAAGAGGGAGAATAGGGGTTGATGCTAACAAACCCATCATATAAATTATAGGTCAGTGGATGAAAGAATGTAGAGCCAGAGAAAGGAAACAACAAACACACTTAGTGTACACTCACATACGGATACTGTGATGGTTTGTGCACATGTCCACAACAACAGAACAGACAGACAATGGGACCTTTACCAAGCCTGTGGCAAGAAAAGCAACGACAACAACCCCTAATTCAACGAGTGGCGTACTTGTACCCAACTTCCGTAGACGTACAACGCACCACGCACCTACAGACCCACACAACCGTCCAAACGGCAAACATCTACGAGCGCATTTTGGTAAAGATCCAAAGTACATGCATTGACATGGAAAGCTACAGTAAGTGGACCGAAGGCTAGGACACATATTAGATAGACCTCCGGATGCCAACGAGTCTTCAGAAGGGCGGAAACGGAAAACAAGTACAAGGCCGAAAGACCCGGGACTACGAAAGTAGAGAAACTTGGCAAAAGGTTCCGCCGTTGGAGCCCACCGAAAGGTCGATTATTCGGAAAGAAAGAAAGAAAGAAAGACTTGAAGAATGGAAGAAGACGAAAATGAAAATGAAAAAAAAAAAAAAAAAAAAAAAAAAAAAAAAAAAAAAAAAAAAAG